GCTGTGTGGTTGGTTCCCGATCGTTCTGCAACTGGGCGGAGAGTGTTTGTTGTTGATGCAGTTGCCTCTGGGTGTCATCCAGTTTGGAGGCGAGAACATTGTTGTGCTCCTGCATTCTTGCCATATCCTGCTGTAGGGTCTCCATACGAGCCTCCAGGGTGGTCGGCCGAGCAGGTGTCTGAAGCAAGGGAGCTATACTTGGCTCGCCACCGAGGCCGAGGATGGGGCCATCGGTGGGGAGGGCCGAAGATGGATTCATTTTTTGGTCTCAGAGTTCTTTGTTTTGAGATATGGGTTGATCGATAAGCGATTCCCACAGACGGCGCCTGTTCTGTAACCAAAAATAATAATATTATATGTTGGCGCTAAAAACTGAATAGATGGAGATGAGTGCAACTTACAAGAGATGGACGATCGAGAGATCGATTGAATGTTGAATGCCGATTCTTCTTGTCCTTGGATGCTGATCCTGAATAGAAAGAAGTCGAGACTCGTAAGGTCTATGGAACCGGTGTGGAACTAGCCTAAGACCCTCCGATGCCGAAGTAAGTTTGTTGTTTTAAGAGCTCTTGCTGTTGACCATATAGAAGTATAAAAGTCAAGCTGAAAAAGAAGCAAGCAATATCCAGAAATATTTTCTTCATTGTGCGCTTTAATGCGTCAAAACTTATTTCAAGCACATTCATAATGTCTTTTTAAGCAACTTCATCAAGTCTATGAAATGCTTCTCACCGTTATGTTACGTTTTTCTCCCTCAAATATGAACCCATAACTACAAGAACTAAAGGAACATCACCATCATATTCTCAATGTTGTTATATTAGAGTTTATTCGCAATATTGTTATATCATGATTAAAGCAAAAACAAACTAATATGGTACAAACAAAAGTATTGTTCAATACATTCACCAAACAAAAGCAATAATTATAGAATCTCTCAGGTGAAGTACCTAAACTAATAGAGTTCAAAATTGTATTGTAGTGAATAAGGTATCATATGGATATTTTTGCCCAATCTCGGGCCCGAGCTCGAGCCCAAGCACGGCACGAGCACGACCCATTTCATTTTGGGCTTGGTAATTTCTTTTTTACACGAACTTGATCCTCTCTATTGAAGAAGTAAGTAATATCCAAAAAGATTTTCTTCATTGTGCACTTTAATGCGTCAAAACTTATTTCAAGCATATTCATAATGTCTTTTTCAGGATCTTCATCAAGTCTATGAAATGCTTCTCACTATTCTGTTATGTTTTTCTCCCTAAAATATGAACCCATAACTACAAGAGCTAAAGAAACGTCACCATCATATTCTATATATATATTTTTTTGGATAACTCTTTATGATGTGGAGCATCGATTTCCTTAAAGGCATTTCAACAGAAGAGTTGATAATTTTCACCAACCTTCAACTTGTCAACCTCGTATATATTATCTGCAAGTAGTCCACACGTCCCCAACTCACACTTCTCTCTAGTTGTTATAATCACTCGACTCCTTGGACCCAACTAGGACTTATCTGCTAAAGCCTTTATTTGATCTACTTTATCCACATCGTCCAGAACGATAAGTACCTTCTTATTCCTTAGCCTATCACATAATAATTGATCCCCAAATATTTATTACAGATATCTTTATTGCAATACATCGAGGTTACAAAGAGATATTTTTGCAACCAAACTATACCATTTTCTTTTGTGGATTCCCTTTTGATAGAGAAAACGAGCGAATAAAATCAAACTAGTTCTTGATTAAAACTTTGTTTGTGAGAGTTGTCTTACCTATACCCTGCCCATATTTGAGTTAGAAAATGGAAGTTAAATGGGCTGGTGGTTTGGCCCGGTCCTGGGCCCGAGCATGAGACTAGCACGGCCCATTCAAACGGGCCCTTAATTATTCAGCTACATTGTAGCTAGCAATCTAGCATCCATTGCCATCCGTCCTCCATTTCTTTTTCCTTCATATGCTAAAAATTAAATTATAACACCTCTGCTACTTGATCTACAGTTTGATGGTATCATATGGATGGTTTGGCCCAGTCTTGGTCTTGGGCCTGGGCCCGAGCACGGCATAAGCACGATCTATTTTATTGTAGACTTTCTAATATCATTTTTACACGAACTTGATCCTCTCTATTGAACAAGCATGCAGTGTCTAGAAAAACTTTCTTCATTGTTCCCTTTAATGTGTTAAAACTTATTTAAAGCACATTCATAATGTATTTTTTAAGAATCTTCATCAAGTCTTTCAAATGCTTATGACCATTAAGTTACATTTTTTTTCCCCATATGAACCCAGAATTACAAGAGCCAAATGAACGCCATCATCATATTCTACAAATTTTTTGGACACCTCTTTATAATCATGTAGAGCATCGTTTTCCTTAAAGGCATTTCATATGGATATTTTGGCCCGATCTTGGGCCCAGGCCTAAGCACGGCACGAGCACGACCCATTTCATTGTGGACTTTGTAATATCTTTTTTACATGAACTTGATCCTCTCTATTCAAGAAGCAAGCAATATCTAGAAAGATTTTCTTCATTGTGCGCTTTAATGTGTCAAAACTTATTTCAAGCACATTCATAATGTCTTTTTCAAGATCTTCATCAAGTCTATGAAATGCTTCTCACCATTATGTTACGTTTTTCTCCCTCAAATATGAACCCATAACTACAAGAGCTAAAGGAACGTCACCATCATATTCTATAGTTTTTTTGGATACTTTTTTTTTTTATGTGGAGCATCGTTTTCCTTGAAGGCATTTCAACAGAAGAGTTGATAATTTTCACCAACCTTCAACTTGTCAACCTCGTATATATTATCTGCAATAGTCATGTCTCCAACTCATGCTTATCTCTAATTTCTATAATCACTCGACTCCCTAGACCTGACTAGGACTCATTTGCTGAAGTCTTTATTTGATCTACTTTATCCACATCGTCCAGAACAATAAGCACATTTTAATTCCTTTGTCTATCACGTAATAATTGGATCCTCAAATATTTATGGGATATGATTTCTCCACTCCCCTTTTCTCCACTTACACTCCATTTTGCTTTTTAATATTTTTTTAACCAATTTTGTTCTTTCTCTTTCCTATTCTACCCTTACCCTACATTAATTTCTTTTTTACTTCACTTTTATATTAGTTTTTTTTTTATACTTAATTTTCCAACTTGCACTCAATTTTCAGTATTTTTTTTTTCCCTTTAATCGAGTAAGAAATTAAGTTTTATTTTTTCCCCTTTAATATTGAAAATGGAGTGTAAGTTGGAAAATTAAGTATAAAGAAAAAGAAATAATATAAAAGTGAAGTAAAAAAGAAATTAATTTAGGTAAGGATAGAATAGGAAAGAGAAAGAACAAAATTGATTAAAAAGTATTAAAAAGCAAAAGGGAGTGTAAGCGAAGAAAATGGGAGTGGGGAAATCAGCTCCCATATGCTGGAAATAGATATTTCTGTCCAATTTTTGACTCAGTAAGCAAGTGTTCATGATATTATGGACGAAATTGAAAGAAATTTGGTGGAATTTGTAATGTGTCCTTGAATTGCAAGGATATCAAACTATAAGGATGAAATTAAATGAATTGAAACTACAAGGATTGAAGTGAAATAATTGACAAACTACAGAAACCAAAACTTACTTTTTACCCTTGAAAAATCACCATCATTTTTTCCAACTGGAGGTGGAGCATATTCTTGCGTTTGCTACTCTGGTTGCCACGGTATCTTAAACTTCGTAAGCCCGGCCTAGTGCCAACTACCTCTCAAATAATGAAGAAAACTCCAAAACCTCAACCAACTAACTTTTTCCACAAACTCTTACAATTCCCACCTGTTGCTCTCACAGTCTCACTGTTTCATCACGACACCAAATACCGAAGAAGGATTTATTTTCGCAAAAAACCCAAGATAAGGATTTCTCATATCCACTCCTCTTGTTTTTTTGAGTTTCCCATGGCCTGTGTTGAAATTTGACTTGTTTTTTCATTTGGTTATCGGTTTTTTTGTGAAAAATTCTCGTTTTTCACTCCAAAGTTTCAAAAGGACCATGCTCTTTGCAATTCTCTAGTTCCATGGTGCATGCTGTAGTAGCTTAATCTAACTGTTTTCTGAGATGGGTTCCTTCACAAATTTCATGGCATCTGCTATTTTCTTCATAGTTTTATCATTTTTTCTTGTTCCCACAAGAACCCAAGAAGAAGGATTCATATCTGTTGTCATATCCAGCCAGGGTCTTGAGTTTTCCAAGGACTTGCTAATAGAGCAGGCTGTTTCCTCTATAATCCCCCTTCAACTGCCTCAGATTGAAAAGTCTGTGAAAATCCCACTTGTTGGCCAAGTTCATGTTGTTCTATCCAATATCACAATCTATAATGTTGATATTGCTTCTTCATATGTGGAGACTGGCGACTCAGGCATTGCTTTAATTGCTTCAGGAGCCACAGCAAATTTGAGTATGGATTGGTGGTATTCTTATAGCAGTTGGTTATTTGATATTTCAGATAATGGGGACGCCTCCATTCAGGTATACAGAGCAACTTAGAAAGGCTATTCTTTGTTCTTTATAAACTTTTTTGTTCTCTTTTATTTTGCTTTGATCTTGCTTTAATGGCATTTGAATTATGAACCAACACATAGGATTATGGTAGATGAAGCTGTGTTTTTCCTTTTTTTTTTTTCTGGAAATTTGTAGTTCACTTCTAATTAGACTTGACATAGATTTTATGGAACCAATAGGCCTCTGATAAGTTGATAACCCTTTGGCTAGCCATTTTCTGTATTTTCTTTACCTCTTGAGGACAGTGAGAAGTGACCAACGTGGAGTGGCATCAGCTGTCTTGTTTCCTTAGGAAGCCTCATGTTGGTTTCTTTTGTGGAGTTCTAATCATTACGTCCCATAATTTCATATCATAAGTCAATGTAACAGATTTGTAAGTAGAAAATGAAATTATGATACAGTTAAACAAAGTACTGTTATAGTGAACTTTCTGTGGTCAAACTCTGTAATGACCTGCAATATGTTACGTGCGTTCCAAGATCATTGAGTCATGAGAAATTTCCATTGAGCTTGAATTTTTGAAAGGAAAGAGGTAGAGGATTGGAATGAATTAAACTAAGATACAATGTTCTTAGCAAACTTAATCTTCTTTCTCCCCAATTTGTTTGATTTTACCTTGTTAAAAAGTGGTGTTGCTTCTAAAAAAGGTTGAAGGTATGGAAGTGGGTGTTACCTTAGCTTTGAATGGCCAAGAAGGAACTCTTAAGCTGTCTGTTTTGGAATGCGGATGCTATGTGAAAGATATCTCCATTAAGTTGGAAGGTGGAGCATCTTGGCTTTACCAAGGGTATGCAATCCTCTTAATCAACTTTGCTATGAGAAAGACTTATTTGCCTCTTTGTTTCTGTCAAAGGTCGTTCCATACCCCCTCCTCTGTTCCCAATTTTTGTAGTTGGATCTGCATCTATATCAACCAAGGCCACTTAAGGTCCACCCATCTGGTTTAAAATCCTTTTTCTGACCCCAAATATTGCTGTTGATCCTCTGACATTCTCTTTCAGGTTAGTGGATGCTTTTGAAGGTCAAATAGTTTCTGCAGTTGAAGACAATATTTCCAAGAAAATCAGAGAAGGAATAATGAAGCTTGACTCCTTACTGCAATCACTTCCGAAACAAATCGCACTGGATGACATTGCTGCTTTGAATGTTACATTTGTGGGCAATCCTGTATTGAGTAATTCTTCCATTGAATTTCAGATCAATGGTCTATTCATGGCTCCCAATGATGATTTTGCTTCCAGACTATACAATAAAGGTTCACTAGGTCCTGTTCCATTCAATGCTCCAGCTAAGATGGTTGAGATATCATTACACGAAAATGTCTTTAGCTCAGCGTCCTTAGTTTTCTTCAATGTAAGTTTATTCTTTTCACCTCTGTTTTTTTTAAGATAATACTAAACAATAATCATTCATTTATTCCTTTTTTGAAATTCTTCATTCTTCTTCCAATAAGGTTATCTATAGTTATCAAACTTCTGTGTACCGAAATCTTACTTCACCATTTCACAACGAACTGACCTGTGCCTGGCCGGATTTGTACCCCTGTAGCTCTATATTTTAGAGTTACATAGTGAAACTAAGATATTATTTTCCCCCTTGTATTCGTTTAGGCAAATTATATGCAATGGGTGATCAACAAAACACCAGACCAGTCCCTTATGAACACTGCTGGATGGAAATACATTGTTCCTCAACTGTACAAGCAGTATCCCAATGAAGATATGGAGCTTAATATATCTGTATCTTCTCCACCAATAATGACAGTTGTTAGCAATGGCATTAATATCACTGTGTACCCTGATGTGACAATTAGTGTCATGGATGCTGATGAAGTAATACCAGTTGCGTGCATATCATTGGTATGCTTCCTTGGAGTGTTTGTATCCTCCCATTAGTTTCATGCACATTTATATCTCCTGGTTCATTATGATTTTCCACGAGTTTTTTGTTGGTGCAGGAGATTCATGCTTCATGTTCTCCAGATATCTTGATAAATAAACTAGCTGGTACAGTTAAATTGAATCATGTTACTGCATATTTGAAGTGGAGCAAAATTGGTAACCTTCACATGCATCTTGTTCAGGTACATTCCTTTGTTTCATGAAATGATTGAAATTATTGTTTTAAGCTTCGAATGCACTTTACAGAGCTTTTTTCTTCTTATGTTTTTTTTTCTTTCCCTTTTTCTGTGTGACTTCACATAGCATTGTTAATATAGTTTTGTTAACAGAGCCAGCCTGTCAATCATAGTTGAATATAAGCATTTCCTGTTATATCAAGTAGTGTAGAGACATAGTACAAGCAGCAGGTAAATTTTTGGACCTCTTGGTCTTAATTACTTGTTAATGAGCCCCAACTGTGAGTGCTCATGAACCTGTATCAACTTGTGGGGCAAACGAGATTTGATATGTTATGCAGAATGTTTATAATTTTTTTTTCTGTGACAAATTTATAAGTTGAATTCTAGTACATAGCCTACGGACAGCGTTACTTTAAAATGCATTTTTTATGTCAACTTTGTCCCGTGTATTTTTTATGACAATGTATCTTAGGGAAAATTTAATTGATCTTCTCCTGTACATTCTCCTCTTAATATAGAGCCATTGCTCCATTTGATATCAATACCATCAAGATTTTTAAACTGCAGGCCATATTGTCAACAATTCTCAAAACTGTTGTGGTGCCATATGTGAATTTACACCTCTGGAAAGGACTACCTTTACCACTTCCTCATGGGTTTACACTACATAATTCTGAAATTATCTCCATCAATTCAAGGCTTTCCATATTCAGCGATGTTGCGATTGCAGAACGATCTCCAACATCAGTAAGCAGACCTTTAATTTCAATCAGATAGTATGTAAACTTTGTATACTAGTAGGTGTTTGTTTTTCTGTGTACATCATTTTAGAACAGTGAACCCAATGCAAAGTCAAAAGATTAGTTTAAAACGTTTGTTGTAATGAAGTTTTGTTAGGATTCTGTTGTAAAACTATGCTGCATAAGTTGTTCATTACAAATGTTTTTGACTTCTTGACGAGCTAAAGGCTCAAAGCTTAGGCTGAGTTTCTCCTACCAGTTTTAACTTATCAGCTACTGGTTTACATGATAGAGCCTTCTCATACCCCATCCTTCCCAACTCCTGTCTCTCCTTCCCTCCTCACTGACTTCTCTGTCTAGTGGATATGAATAACAGGAGAGAAGAAACAATAAAATTGGAAGTGCAGTATTAATAATCCTTTTTTTTTTTTTCAGAGAAAAGCTGAGTGCTAGACAAAATTACCATTGTGGTTGTGAGTTTTCTGGTTTGTGTGATTTGTGCACATTATTAGGATTAATTTCTCTATCAAAATAGGGTTTCTGCGTTTGGATGAACTGGATATTTTGGTGTCTGGTGCATGCATGTCCTCGGTCTTTGACAAAAGTACGAGATATTGAAGAAACAACTTGTTTTTTGAGAATCTGATGTTTTTATTCGAAACCATAAAGTGGGTCAAGTGTGATTACAAATTTTCTTAGAGTTTCTTAGGTACTTAATAAGCTTGAAATAGTTATGTTTGTCCACTTTGTTTAGCAGTTGGCATGATTTTCAGCATCCTACGTACCGATTGCCTAGCACAAATCATTTTTATGTCGTGTTCGAGTCAAACCTTATCAGGTTGGGTTGGTGACAAGGTGACATGATAATAACACATTTAACGAGTTTGACCAGTGTTCATTCTTGAAACATGATAACGACACGTTATCTTTGTGAAATATGTTTTTATCTTCTTTGAAAAACCTTTTTTTTTTTTTTGGTAAAGTCTTTTTTTAACCATTGGACTTATAACTTATTGTCTATGTATGTTTTTTTGGTGAAATATGATTGGATGTATGTTATGTAATGTGCTTAGCATAAGTTTTTATGGTAATATTTGTGTATTTAATATTATTTCACATTTTGGTGTTTGATTGACAAAAAATAAAGAGAAACACATAAATGGGTGAAACATGACACAACACGCAAAATTTGTGAATGAGTTTGAGTTCATATATTTGGGCATGATAAGTCAACGAGTTGAGTTTGAGTTGAGCATAATCTTACACGACATGAGAAAATGATACAACTTGAATATGTTAAAAAACAACACTTGCTGCATTATGTGTTCTTCTTCTCTATAGATGTGTTGAATCTTACAGTCAAACTTAATTACTTCTCAAAATGTATATATTGACACCTAGAGATGAGGTTAAGCATAGGATGGTCATGATCGCACAGCACACTTGGATCCACAATGATAGGAAACCACCCAGATTTACAAGCCAAGGCTGATAGATTCTAAACGGGCTTGCTAGATTCTAATTACTACTGCTATTTGCTTCTGTTAGACGCCCAAAACACTTCAAACACACGATATTACAACCAAGGAGACCATTTTGCACCAATGCTAGGAATACGATCACCAACACAAACTACAACCACAGCAGTGGCAATGCTGAGGAGACAAGTCTGAGTAGATACCATGACTCACTTAAGCAACTGGACAAGCTCAACTTCATGAAAGCTGTAAAAATCCTCTTCACTGGTCCACCTTCCAAAAAGAAGTTTGGGTATTGCTTTGCTTTGCATTTTCTGTTTCTTTCATTTGTTCTCTGTGTTGGTTTTGTTTTTGTTCTTAAATCTTGTAGGTTGTTTTTGGTTCTCATTGGCATTGTATGAAACAAATTTGTGCATGCATGTAGACACTAGACGCTTTGTAGCTGGGAGAATGTTAAAATGAAAATTTTATTGAAATCAGTAGCGTGGTGGGTGTTTTAAGGTTTAAGTGAACGAGTGCTAACAAAGGTGGTGTGGAAATATTGAATTTGATGCCATTTGCTAAAGCACCTGTTCAAGGATAGGAAAATGTTCAAGCAAAGGTTTGTGTATGTGTAAAATTTAAGAAGGAATGCATTTTAGTCAACCCCAAATAAATCATTCTAATTATTTGAGTCTTTAATTGTTAGAATTTCCTATTTGGAGTTAAAAGTAAACAAATTTAATGATTAGGTCTTTGGTAATACATAAGTACTGGGAAAGGAACTTTATACACTGTCACTAGTTTTGCAGTAAGCAACTTAATTTTCATCTCTTCTAGGCTAGAATGACCTTATTTGTGACTGCGTGCTCCAGATTATTTGCCAAATAAATCATTAGAGAACGAGATTATCTGTACTTTAAATGTGACTGGTATCTGAGACATGTTCTTACCTTTCTCCTTTTCATGGTTAGGCTCGATTTCCATATGGTACAACTGTTCTTTGCTTGCATGCCTTCCTTGGGTGTGTATCATGTTTCATATTTGATTTTCTCATGGTTTCACACTACTAAGTAAGAACTTATTTTGTGTAACAGCTGTGTATCTGGTGGCTCAATATGCTCGCTATGAAATCAGAAGAATGGAAGCTGTAACTGAACCAATATGCTTTTGTGCTGATATCTTTAGCCTAAATAGTGCATATATATTAGTTGCTCTTTATTGGATTGTATGCCATTGTGTGTTTCTTCCATCATACCATCGTACCATCATTTATCTTTTTTCCTTTTTCTCCATATTTGCTCTAAATCTATGGTTCTTCTTTCATTGTTTGAATTCACCATTTACAATCCAAGGATACTCCTCAAGAATCTGTCTAGTTTCCTAAACAACCTTTTCAGAAACATGCTGCAATGATTTTTTTTTTTTACTGATTCACTCATCTGGCTGTTTATTCGCACACACTCTTATATCAGGTTGGTCATCATTGGTATATTTCTTGCAAAGATGAAGCATTGTTGATGGCATGCCTCAAAGTTACCTGAGTTAGAGATTTGGCAACGATAGTGTTGTGAAACCAAAAGTTTCACATATACAGGTTTATGATTTGCATATTACCAACTTTATACTAAGACACAAACACACACACATGTATAACCGTATATATATGCTATCTAAATATTGGATATTTAGAAGATCATGGGTGCATAGTTTTTCCTTAAATTATTGAAAACGTTAGGTTGTAAACATTCTAAGTTCTAACTAACCATGTACAACTTCAACTTTTCTAACTAATCATATTTGTAAATTGGCCAAGATATGTGTATCGCTAACATTTATTTCTTTGTTAATCTTGAAATCCGATGCTTGCTATTTGGTTGCCTGCGGTTAAAAACTTTACTGGATTTCTTTTTATTTATTTTCCTTTCCTCACCGAAATCACCATCTCAGGAACTGGAGGAGAAAAAGTAGAAAGAAGAAGAGAAAGCAAAGGAACAAGAAATAGAACTAAATGCTGCTGAAGAAAAAGAAGTAGAATCTAATCCGGAACTTTTGGAGGTGAGAGTGAGACTACATAAACTTGAAGAAACTCTGAAGGAAATTGTGGTTGAATCAAAGAAGCAAATGAATAGTAGCCAAACAAAAGCGCATGAAGGAGGAAATGAGAAGAAAGTAACAGAAGCAAGTAGCCATAGTAGTTTACTTTAGAATATAGCAAGCCCGTTGAGAAATATCTGTGAAAACCAGAGAATGGTTTCAGTTCTCTTCATTCCTTTTCACGTGTTACATAAATAGCTATTAAAGTAATAGCTGTACAATGGAATAGTTTACAAAAAAGAAATAATATTACAGCAGTCTTCATGATGATGTCTTCTCCTTTTATCTGGCAGCATCTTCTTTATCTGACAGCATGTTGATTCCATCATGTTGTTTTCTTCATGGCAGACTAACCACGTGTCAACACTCCCCCTCAAGTTGGTGCATAGATGTTTCGAATGCCCAACTTGTCGAGGCATGAATGAAAACTTCTACTTGATACAGCTTTTGTCAAGATGTCGGCCAATTGATCTTCAGTTTTAACAAATGGAAAGTCAACAATTCCAGCATCCAGCTTCTCCTTAATAAAGTGTCTATCCACTTCAACGTGTTTAGTACGATCGTGTTGAACTGGATTGTGGGCAATGCTAATGGCAGCTTTGTTATCACAATATAAATTCATAGCCTTCTTGGATTTGCAACCCAAGTCTCTCAACAATTTTCGCAACCACATGAGTTCACACACACCATGAGACATGCCTCTGTATTCGGCTTCAGCGCTTGACCTAGATACCACCTTTTGTTTCTTGCTACGCCATGTAACCAAATTCCCCCCAACAAAGGTGAAGTATCCAGATGTGGATCTTCTATCAACAATGGACCCGGCATAATCAGCATCTGTATAGGCTTGAACATCTAGATGACCATGTTTAGTAAACATCAATCCTTTTCCTGGTGCTGACTTCAAGTATCTAAGTATTCGAAGAACAGCTTCCATATGACTCTCACTAGGGGCATGCATGAATTGACTAACCACACTAACAGCATAGGCTATATCAGGTCGTGTATGTGACAAGTAGATTAGTTTTCCAACCAACTTCTGATACCTTTCCTTATTTGTTGGAATCTGATCAAGGCTTTCTCCCAACTTATGATTTTGCTCCATTGGAGTGGCTGCTGGTTTGCAAGCAAGCATACCAGTCTCACTTAACAAATCTAGGATATACTTTCTTTGAGACAAAGAGATGCCATGCTTAGATCTTGCCACCTCAATTCCAAGAAAGTATTTTAGTACCCCAAGATTTTTCATCTCAAATTCTTGAGCCAAGTATTTCTGAAGTTCTGTGATTCCTTCTTCATCATTACCTGTAACAACCATATCATCCACATAAATAATCAAGGCTGTCACTTGTCCTTTCCTGTGTTTCAGAAACAGCGTATGATCAGAATTGCTCTGTTTGTACCCAAATCTTTTCATAGACAAACTGAATCTCCCAAACCAAGCCCTGGGTGACTGTTTCAGTCCATATAAAGATTTCCTCAGCTTGCACACCTTGCCAACATCTGTTTCCATAACAAACCCAGGTGGAAGATTCATATACACCTCATCTTTTAAATCACCATGTAGGAAAGCATTTTTCACATCAAATTGATGTAGCGGCCAGTCTAGGTTGGCAGCCAGAGATAAAAGGACTCGAATAGTGTTGATTTTAGCTACTGGCGCAAAAGTCTCTGAGTAATCAACACCATAAGTTTGAGTGTAGCCTTTTGCTACCAATCTTGCCTTGTATCTCTCTACTGATCCATCTGCTTTGTGTTTTACAGTAAACACCCATTTACAACCAACGGGTCTCTTGCCTTTAGGCAAGTCAACAAGTTCCCAGGTACAATTTTTTTTTAGTGCCTCCATCTCCTCAACCATAGCAATCTTCCATTTTGGGTCACCAAGAGCATCCTGTAAGCTACTAGGTGTAGACACAGAAGATATGTGGTTTGTAAAAGCAATATAAGAACTGGATAAACGATGGTTAGACACATAATCAGATATTGGATATTGAACAGTTTTTACTGTAGAGTAGCCAAACCTTTCTGGAGGTATCCCACGATTTTTACGAATTGGAAAACGAGGAGAATTAGAGACATCTATAGACTCATTTGAGTCATCTAGATTATCCCTAGCTGAAATATCATGGTTATCAACATTATCAGTATGTATGGAAGGTGGCGGGGATTGTGGAATTACCTCAGAATGATCTTCATGCAAAGCAGCAGGTTGATTTGGAACATGGTCAGGAAGTGGAAGATCTGTTACTACTTCATTTCTCTTCCTTCTTTGGTACACTTGCAACTCTTTTTCATGTGTATCATGTGTATCAGCAGTATTAGGTGATGGTACATATCCAATATCAGGGAACTGCTCTTCCTCTCCATCATTCTCCCCCTGAAGAGGAGTGACCGAAAAATAGGCCTCTTCTTCACAGAATGTAACATCCATAGAAATAAAAAAATTTCCTGATGGGGGATAGTAACACTTGTACCCCTTTTGTGAGACAGAATAACCGACAAACACACATTTGAGGGCACGAGGATCTAGTTTGTCACGACTGTGTTGGTGAACATGAACATAGCTAACACATCCAAACACTTTAGGTTGAATATGAAGAACTGAAGGAATAGAATGATACTGAGAAAGGGTCTGAATAGGTGTTTGGTACTGGAGAACCCGAGATGGTACACGATTTATAAGGTACACGGCTGTGCAAATGGCATCGCCCCAAAAACGTTTTGGAACATGCATAGCAAAGCATAAAGAACGAGCCACTTCTAAAAGATGACGATTTTTACGTTCTGCTATACCGTTCTGTTGAGGAGTATATGGACTGGAAGTTTGGTGTATGATGCCATTTTGCTCAAAAAAGGTTCTAAGTTCAGAATTCAAATACTCACCCCCATTGTCAGATCGGACTACTTGCACTGGTACATGAAACTGTGTTTGAATCATGTGATGAAATATAGGAAAAATGGATGAGACATCACTTTTATTTTTCAACAGATAAACCCAAGAGACACGAGTACAATCATCAATGAAGGAGACAAAGTACTTAGCACCAGTGTAAGTAGGAACATGAAATGGACCCCACACATCGGAGTGAATAAGAGAGAATGGAATATGACTTTTATTGGAGCTTACAGGGAATGAAACACGATGACTTTTTGCAAAAATACAAGTTTCGCAATGGAAGTCAGACACATGAACTTTAGCAAATAAAGAAGGAAATAGAAGTTGTAAATATTGAAAGGATGGGTGACCCAATCTTTTGTGCCACAACCAAATTTCGGCGTTAGCCTGTTCTGTACTAACTTGATAACCACTTCTTACTTAAGGATCAGGCAGTTTTGAGTCCAAGTAGTACAATCCTCCGCTTTCCTTACCATGACCAATCTGCTCCTTTGTCTGAAGATCCTGAAATAAACAAGAGGTAGGAGAAAAAATAGCCAAACAATTGAGATTTTTAGTAATTTGACTAATAGAAAGCAAATTATGGGAGAGAGTAGGGACATGTAAAACAGAGGACAGCGACAATGATGGAGTTAGGGAAACAGATCCTGCTCCTAAAACTGGAGTGGAAAAACCGTTAGCAACCTTAACAGTTTTTGTATGTGGATGACTGGGGGAAACAAACCAAGCAGTATTATTAGTCATATGATCGGAAGCTCCTGAATCAATGATCCAGAGTTTATCGCTAGCATTAAAGGGTGTGCTCACTGCTAAACCATAGTGACTTGTACCTGGATATGGTGAGGAAGTGGAAGTAGTGTTGGGGAAAACTCTGAGAGCAGACTGATCCATATGTGGTGAAGAACCATGAGGTAAAGGTTGTGAAGCCAAATTTGCAACACTTTTTTTCTTCTCTTTTCCCTTTTCTTGTTTGTCCACCCACCAATCTGGATATCCAACCAATTCGAAACAAGTTTCCCGAGTGTGTTTTTTCTTCCCACAGTGGGTACATTGGCGTGTGTCAAGCTCCTTTTGTCCCGGCTTTGGATGACCACTTCTAGGTACAGGGCGATGTAAAGTGGTTGTCATAGCTGACCCGTCAACATGTGAGCCAGCTAACATGGTTGCTTGCCTATTAGCTTCAGAGCACACCTGTGCATATGCGGCTTGCACACTCGATATCCCCTCAGTAAACAGGATTCTGTAGAACCAAGACCAGCCCTCAGCAAAGAGAGGGCAGTACGTCAGCAGCCGGTTCCTAATGCTAACTCGCAGGATCCGGAGGGCAAGACCCCAGCTTCTGAGGATGCTGAAAGATGAAGAGAAGTTCTTTCAGTTATTGTCTATAATTTTTCGTGTAGCATAGGCAAGAGGAAACACGT